TGTTGTTCTTTCTTTTTTCTTAAGGCCTTGTTGGTTGTTTTCTATAGCCTTGGATGAGTTTTCACTGTTTTTGTTTTCTGTTTGTTTGTGTACAAGTGATCAGCGGAGAGAGTTTGCATATATTTTGCTGATTACCTGTTTAAAATTATATATTATATAAAGATCTGATTAAAATACAGTATATATTAAAAGGAAAAAGAGAAGTAAGCTTTTAATAAAAAAAAATCAGATAATAAATATCACTGCTCTAAAAGTTAAAATTATAATTGAATAAAAAAAACCAACCAGAGGTCATCTTAACACCAAAAAAAAATTAAATAAAAATAACTAAAGCTTCAACTCACAAATTACATTTAATAAGATTTGTAGTTTTGTATAATGCTTTTAAATTTATTAAACAAATCTGTTGAATAATCTGATAGATATCTGACTATTTTAATTTGGTAAATATTTAATAATCCTGGTTGAGCTTTCATAAATTGGGTGCAAAAATTATATACAGTCAAACCTTCCTATAGTCACACTCTATATAAGCACATCATATAAAAATTATCTTTATAAGCACAATTATTTTAAAACCAACTATTATAAACATATAGAAAAAAACCTCTTTATAAGCACATCTTAGTAAAATTCTCTTTACAATCACACAAATCTTTATCCCGAGGGGTGTGATTATAGGGAGGTTAGACTGTACCAGAACACTATTAATATAAAGTTATATTACAATTTACAATTTCGTAAATTTCAATACAATTTAATGTAAATTGTAATTTATATAATCCCGACCCTACTTATCAAGAAGGCAAAACACTTTACGATATTGAACTCTAATTAAGTTATCCTTGATTCTGAACGAATTTTCCTATAGTAAGAATCGAATGTTAAATATTATTTTATAGCACGTGGGTACTGGAAGATGATCTATTGGTTAGTTTATACTTTTATACTCTTTTGATACGTCTAAACATACCCTAAAATTAACCAATGGGAATTTATATTTAATAAAATTTTAGAGTATCCAAAACATGCGTTTCTGGATTCCTAAATCGCATATATTAACCAATCATATATGGGTGTCTTCCTAATGAGTTAACATCTCATAATTTTGTCATTGTCATATGATAAAATTTTTCAGATAACAAATCGTGTGACTAATACGTTTAACGTTAATGTCAACGTTAGAAACTTACATAACTATATATAACGTAAATTACGCAATTGATATCGATATTCAATACTTCTCTTCTTACTATCACTATGGAAAACGATCTATTAGAAGCCTTTACTGACATTGTTGTGAACAACAAGCCAATAACATCTATTTCACCCATATTCGAAAGGTTTCAAAATGGCGAGTATGACCATGAAGCCTTTATACAATACCTCCTTGATGCAATATGGTACATTGATACTACGATAATTGACAGTGCCAATGACAAGACGATGGAAAGTGAGCGTCGTCGAAACTTAAGTAGCATTGTCAAATACCTTAATGTAAGTATTAGTGTGTCAATATGAAGTAAAATTATAATTCGTATGACACTTGATTTTCTGTAATCGAGCTTTTGAGCCGATATTTACATCCGTTTATACAAATATACAAAGCTTGTGATTAGGTTCTATGTCTATTTAATTTGGATTTATCAATTACGTGACGTAATAGGCTTGAGATGCTTTCAACGTTTATCTCGAAGTTTTGCGCTTTGAATAGAGAAGCTTGTTGTTAGAAACTTTAAATGGATTTCCAAGTACATGACGTCACATACTTGAAATTCTTTCTTTGATTTTGAGGTTTTGGGTTATTTAAATAGGAATTTGTCATGTAATGTCCATAAGAATTCATGTATTTGTAAAATTTCGGCAACTACTAACAACTTTCATCAACTTTTTTAAGACAAATAATATCGTTGATACCAAAAACATGAAGACCAAATTAGATATCGTCCTACTGGAAAATGCTGGCGTTGTAGAAGAAAAAACTTTTGGCCGACGATGCGTAAGGATAAATACGGCAATGCTGTATAAGCAACAAAAGTATAACCTTGCCCGAGAAGAATCAGAAGGTTATTCAAAATTAATGTGTGAATTAACCATGAGTTACAACACCATGTATAAAAATGGTGATGAAAAGTCTCAGAATGTGCGTGTGCAAAGTCTCTTGGAGACTATACAGACATTAATAGGTAAAGTTATTATACATAAATCTGTTGGTTTTTTGCTCCAATAAATCTAATTTAACTAATTAATACATATAAAAGGATTCTTTAATTTGGATCCTAATCGTGTTCTCGACTTAATTCTCGACGTATTTATTGCAAATGTAAAGGATCATTATGAATTTTTCATACGACTTTTAAAGAACTCCCCTTGGCTACCGGATCCTATTGATGTGGATAAATGCAATTCTGATCATGATATTTTGGATGAGTGGTCGAATGATAAGGGTAATCAAACATGCGCTCAATTGCTTGGCACAAAATTTTCTCGTTATAAAGGTTCCGACATGATGTCAGATGCATTTCAATCATTGTATATCGCTTCTGCAATATTAATCCACAATGAGATTGTAAAAATTGCTGATTTGTATCCATATATTCTGAAGGAACCTGGCGATAATGATCCATACGAACATTTAAGCGGAATTGCATGTGCTTTTCTTGAAATCGGTGACTTTTACCATGCACGTTATGTATTACATCATCTTCCTGATATTGGGGAATCCGTCGTCAAATGTTTGCGTGAGATAATTAATGTAGCAATTCACGAAGTTTATGTTCCAATCGCCCCTCGATTAATAAAATATTTTCCAACTCCGACTTTTTTTGGTTCCTGGTATAAACAATGGAGTGAAGGAGTTCCCATTTTTCATTCTTTTATGGATCTCATAAATGAAAAAGGACGGCAATTACTACATTTTGTCGGCCCATGGCTTTCTAAAGATCTTATATTACTCACCAAAATAATGCGTATCACATTTCACCATCTAAAGGAATCCAAGAATACTCCAGATTATGAAATTATTCAAAATGGTTGGATTGACATTCTTCTAACGGTAATTTTGCCAAGTATATCTATGCCAGGCACTACGTGTGGTGTGATAGATGAGTTATGGAACATTCTTAAATTATTCCCGTATGAAACAAGATACAAGATATATGCCGATTGGAAGCTAGTTTACAGTTCTCACCAGTTATTAAGAGAGCAGCAGAAGAAGGTCTCATATATTACTAAAGATATTTTAAAGAAGATAACAGAAGAAAATTGCCGGGTGAAAGGTCGTGATCTTGCCAAAATTTCACATACAAATCCGACAGTCGTATTTGAAATTATTCTAAAACAAATTCAAGCCTATGATAATATGATGACTTCATTTGTCGAAGCCTGTAAATACTTTACGGCCCTTGAATATGATATCCTGACTTATCAGATGCTAGAGATATTTGCTTGTGACAGGGCAAGGTTAAAAGAAGATGGTGTCAACATTAGCGATTGGCTTAAACATTTGTCAGACTTTTGCGGAAATATGTGTCGAAAATATGATAAAATGAACCTCACAGGCATTCTTCAATTCATTGTTTGCAAACTCAAAGATCGCAGCTCCGTGGATCTATATGTTCTTTCACAGCTAATTACTGCAATGTCTGGGATTAAATACGAAACAATCCCTTCAAATTTAGATGTAATCCTTATGGGTACTGGAGAAAATCTACGAAACATCAAATTATTTAATCGGAATCAAAAAAATGTCCGTCGCAATTCCTCCCGGCTGGGTCAAACACTTGTCGAGGAGGGGTTTGCCATGAAGATTGCTATACTGATTGCTCAACTGGCGCAAAGCATTCCGTATGAAGCATTTGGCGTGGTGGAAGAATCCGCAGGCCTTAAGTCCGTTATTCATCAGATGGATCTTTGCCGCAACACTTATATTCAATATGTAGATTTTTTAGCAATGACTATAGGCATGGAGGAATATGCTGCAATTGTCCCTGATATTGAAAAATTGACTAGAACATATCAATTACAAATGGAATATGCTTTTATGTTGCTACGGCCGGTAATGAATTACAAGCTAAAGCAACATACAGATGCAAACGATTCAATGAATATAAACAATGAGTCAACAGTAATTTGGCAGCCCTCCTTATTACCTATAATCGATCAAGTTAAATCCATTTTGCCGGCCTATGTGTGGAATGGAATCAGTCCACATTTCTTTGTTACTTTTTGGCAGTTGTCTTTATATGACTTAGAATTTCCACAAGAAGAATATCGTAAAGCTAAGAATGATTTGCTAAATTCTGCAAATGATGATAAGATTCGTGATAAATCCAAAATTCTTGATATTGCTCGTCAAATCGATGAAGATAGGCGAACACATGAGCAACACGTAAAAAGTGTTAAAAATCGATTAAAGATCGAGAAAGATCATTGGTTTTCCGGACAATTCACTAATCGTCAAGATATTATAACACAATTTTGGCAATATTGTCTTTTCCCACGGTTGATCACAAGTGCTGATAATGCCGTGTTTTGTGTTAAATTTATAGAAATTATGCATGAAATTGGCACTGCTAACTTTTCTACACTCACATTGTATGATCGGATCTTTGCAGACCAAGTGCAACCGTTGATCTTTACCTGTTCTGAGTCTGAGGCACGAAATTATGGTGCTTTTCTCCAAACAGTTTTGGCCTCCCTTAGTAAATTGCACAAAAGTCCACAAGAATATGAAAATAAAGGCAAAGGATCGGGAATTCCAGGGTTCCAAATGAAATGGTCTGCCCATAATCGCCAGCCGACCAGTATTTCCGAAACTGATCTATTACAATATGAAGATTTTAGACGTGTATATTACAAATGGCACTCAAAGCTTCTAAAGGCCTTTGAACAAGGGCTTCAATCTATGGAATACTTTTCAGTTAGGAATTCTATTATTGTCCTTAATAACATTGTGTTATACTTTCCGGCAATTGACACCTTTGGAAAGAAACTTCAAGACAATATTGATAGGATTGTTAAAAATGGAAATTACGATATTTTAACTTTGGCTATAAGTTATTCTGCTGTATTAAAAGGAAGACAACAATTTTGGGTGTCTACTCGATCATTCCAAAAGCCGAAAAATTCCAGTAACACGGATTCAATACATGATGAAAAAGGAGCAAAACATGATGAAAGAATAGAGAAAACAGGATCGTCATCTCCTTCACAAAGGACAACTCAAGCTTTGGTAGCCTCACGATCAAGTCCTTTATCAAACATGAGAGGTGATCAACAGTCACCTAATTCAACTATTAGAACTAATAGTCCACGAAGACAAATACATCCACTACCTGACAAACCTTTTAATAAAAAAGACCGTGATAGGGATCGAGAGAGAGATCGTATCAAAGATAGAAAAGATGTTCAATTTGAGCGTGAAAAAGAAATAAAGAAAAACGATCATCACGATCGAGACAAGGAGATGATTAAAAAATTGGATTATTACGATCGTGAAAAAGAACGAGGACGAGAAAGAGATCGTAAACAAGAAGTTCCCAGAGGTGGCAGTGATGATAAAAAAGAGATGTTGGTTCGTAATAAAGAAAGACAACCCGCTGATGATCGGAATAAGAGAATTGATCATCATCCTCGTATGCGAGATCGTGAAGAAAAAACTAAAGAGAAAGAGAGAGAAAAACGTGATGAAAGACGTGAAGAACGACGTGACAAAGGTAAAGAGCGAGAAAGGTCACGTGAGATTGAAAGAGGCGATCGTGAGGATAGACGAGAACGTGAAGGTGAACGTGATCGCCATCGAAATGATGCAAGTAGAAGACGACATATTGAAGACCCTGCTATTCGCAGACCACGAGAAGATCGAGAAATCATGGCAACTCAAAGATTTATAAACAGCAAGAAAAGAGACCGTGTTGAAAGAGACCGAGATGATGAACCAGAATCACCGGTTCCCTCAAACAAGAAGAGGAATGTTGACCGGGGTATTGAAAGTCTTGCTGCTACGGTGCCTCCCCGTCCGCCCATCAAGTTAAATCGTTCTGTGGAACATATCAATGATTTGGCTTCTTCAATGCCAGTAACACCAATGAGTGGAAAAAGAAATGATAAGCGTGACAATCGAAGAAGATATTAAATTTTGAGAAATTTGTTATTTAAGGTGAATGTGGCTATAGTGTTATATTAAAAATCTATCATCGAACTTTTAATCATTAGTTTTGGGACATGTGTAGCATTTCCAATTAATATGTTTATATGATTCTTGTCTTGATGTATTGTAAATATATTTGCTTTTGTTTCTTATTTTGAAATGCATGTAATATCTAAATAATTATGGTTAATTACTAATCATGAACACTACTAAGAGAAATTTCAAATAAATAATTCTTGAAGGGTTATCTATTGAAATAATTTATATGTAGGGTATACAATTATCCTCTTACTACACCTTACAGACTTGGTCACTTCAAACAAAATTACAGACATACATATTCTTATATGGTGCTTTATCCATTGCACCGTAAAGTGTTCACTAGCAAATGTGCCTGAAAGCAAATATCTGATTTTGTTAACCGAAAATCACGTACTTATTTTCAAAAAATCATACAAGCGATGTCGATACATACCTAGTGATTAAAAATCAAATTTAATATTCTCAAAGATGTTTTGAGTTTATTAAAAAATTTTCTATACATTTTCTGATAGCACAGAACATTAAATTTTAAACATTATATATATATCAAAAGCTTAACAGTTAATATAGATTAGTGTTTATATAGTGGATTTTACGAAAAGCCATTGCTTTTAATTATAAAATTTTTTGAATTGATAACTTTCTAAAGACAATATTAAAAAACCTTTTTGTATATTTAATAGCTTTAATTTAAACTACGTATAGTACCAAATTTACAAAATATCTTTTTGAAAGCTATATTAATTTAAACTTATATAGCAATGAGTTAGTAGAAAAAAATTTATTTTTAGTAAAATTTCTTTAATTTTTAAGTTAAAATATTACAACAAATATATATTAATTTTTATAAAAAAATTATTTTTTATTTTGAATTTGCTGTATACATGATAAGATTAGTTACAGATTTGGATCAAGATGATATTAATTTTTAACTATTTATTATATCTTGTATAACTACTTAAGTATAGCAAATCATCTCTTAATTTTTTATTTGTAAACTAATTTAAGACTAGCTACCATTAGTTATAGAAGGGGAAAGAGGAAGCCCAATTATTTTTTTTTAAATCTTTAAAAATGTAATAAATTTTTTAATTATAAAATTATATGATTAAAATAAGAGTTAATATAGATGTATCTGTAGGGTATATTCAATTTTTGTACCTATTATTTTGATTATAGTAATATCAATATTGTTTATATTAGGTTAGAGTTAGGATGAGAACTATGTTAGAGTTTGGGTTTAGGCAGTTACATAGTAAAATCATTTAAAGAAATCTTTTTTTAATATACAGAAGATAGTTTGATATGCAATTTCTTGCAAAATAAGTGATTTTTGTTAAAATGAATATTTGTTTTGAATTTCCTGATCATATAATGTTATACCTGATTTTGAATTTTGGTAAAAATTTATATAGGTTATATAATGTGGATATATGTACCTTCAGGTATATATATATAATTTCAAAATAAAAAAATTTAATTAAATTTGATTAAATAATTGTTAAAATATTTAAATTAAAAAACTTTTATTTAATTGATGATTCATCACTCAATTAGAGAAATTTCTTTATTAAGATGTAATACAGATCACTTACAGTTTAACATTAAATTGAAATTTTTAGGTCATAAATAAGGTTATAAATATTTTTAGACAAATATAATATTAAAGTAATAAAATAATAAAATAATACTATAAACTTTTAATTTTAAAATAATTAAATATTAATTTTTTTTAAGAAGTTTACTCAGTAAGTATATAGTATTCATTAAATTAAACTCTATATTAATTAGATATTAAGGTAATTTATATTATATTGTTTTTAACTTATTTTGCAACAATTTTATTATTATTTTTTTTTTATTTTTTAAATTTTTAAACTTAAAAGTAATATAAAAAACAAACTCAACTATTCTATATTGCAATGGTATGAGATCTTATAAAATAGTATATTAAATATAGATTTTAATATACATGTTGATTATACAAATATATACATTATATAACCTCTTTTTTTTTTATAGTCATTATTTCAATGCTGCCTAAGTATATTTGTAAAAAAATGATATATAATATAAGAGCAACACACTGATTTTTTTGAATCTTGTAATATAATTTTTGATTTGAAAATAAAAAAGATTAGCAAATATAATATACAAAAACAATAATCTTTGCAAGTGCACTTTTCAAAAAAATACTATATTAATCTTGTTAGATTTAGTTAGCAAGTAATAAAAACTTTGAATTAATAGATAAAAAATATTACAGTATTAGTAAATATAATTCACAATAACACTATATTAATTTGTTTTAATTAGATATTGAAAGTATTTTAAATCTAGGTGTAGTATTTGAATCCAGATTAATAGACCTGATAGAATATATAAGAGCTGTTAAAAAAAATATATTTCTATTTTTTAATCAATTATTGATTTAAAAATTAATTAAAAAATTAAGATGCACTTTTTTTTAGTAGCATTTATTATACAAATTGCAACTAAATATAATATATCTACAGTAATATAGAGATTCAAATTTATCATCAAATACTCTATACTTAATAACTAGGCTATATAATAAAACTTCTATAAATATAAGTACTAGTGGGATACCACCTGTAATATAATTATATTACAGGTGGTATCCCACTTAGGTTAGATTATATAATCTAGATACCACTATATAATTTGAATTTCATTATATAATCTAGATATCTCTATATAGTCTGAATAGCACTATATAATCTGAGCACCACTATATAATCCAAATATCATTATATAATCTAGATATCTCTATATAGTCTAAATAGCACTATATAATCTGAGGACCACTATACGATCGAAATAATATAATCTAATAAACACTATATAATCTAAACATGTAATCTAACTACTACTATATAATCTATATATTTCCTATATCAGGTATCTATTTTATGTTCTAGCTATCTCTTTGAACTCTTTCTGATATTTATATTTTACCACCATACGATCTAACTACCGCACACTATTTAATCTAACCTGATATTACAGGTGGTATCCTACTTCTGAGCATCACTATACGATCTAAATAATATAATCTAATAGACACTATATAATCTAAACATGTAATCTAACTACTACTATATAATCTATATATTTTCTATATCGGGTGTTTATTTTATGTTCTAGTTATCTCTTTGAACTCTTTCTGATATTTATATTTTACCACCATACGATCTAACTACCACCCACTATTTAATCTAACCACCAGCATGTGATCTAAATACTGCTATTTCCTTCTTGTTCCTAATCCATTTACACGTCAAATTTTATATTGTTGGTACTGGCCTTCTATATCTGTTTGGATACCTGGTTCTATGTTGGGGGTGCTGGCCCTCTGTGCTCGTCTGAGTACTTGATTTTATATTGAGGTACTTACTTTTTTGCACCTATTTTGTTGCTTTTCTAGATGCCAAAATGTAGTAAAAAAATTTTTGTGTCGGGTAGCACGGTAGATTCGTGATTAATTTTGGCCAGCTCTATAACATAATTCTGGCCGATCTTTAGGACACGTGATTTGAGGATCCAACTTGACATCATAATAGTGACCTGATAGTGCCTAGAACTATCATGATACTGGCGGGGAACTGGCAAGGTGCCAGAGAGGTTCTGTTTGTTCGCCAGTTTTAGACCACTTTTATGCTAGCTTGGATGCCGAATTCTTATGCCCAAAGATTTGGCCGAAATTACAGAATAGTGCTAGCCGAAATGATCATAATTTTCTACACCTACCGGCCATGTATTGCTGTTCTTAAGCACTTTCAAAATTACCTCACACCTGAGTACATATCTGGAAAAGTATAGTCTTCTTTCAATTTTTTATATAAAGATTCCGAAGAAGACTATACTTTTGGATGCATACCTAAATGCCTTTTTTTGTCATTGAGACTTTTAAGTAATACCCGACTACATATCTAGAAAGATGAAGGCTTCTGCCAATATTTTATAATAAAAATACCACAGAAGCCTTCATATCATGTCCGAGTTCATACCATACCCAACTATATATCTAGAAAAGTGTAGGCTTCTGCCATCTTTATATAATATAATTACGCAGAAGCCTACACTTTCAGATGCATATTCAGATGTCCTCTTTTTACGATTTGCTACCCAAGTATAAGTATCCAATATATGTCACATATATCTGGGTGCATACTAGTTTACTCTAAATACCAATATATACCCGAGTACCTATTTAAAAATGGGGCCTTCTTCCATTATTTTAGATAATAATTCTGAAGAAGGCTCTATTTTCAGTTGTATATCCAGATGCCTTTCTTTTACAATTTCCCATCTAAGTTTGCTATCGCTTCTTTTTTATATCTA